AATTATGTCTTTAATCAGTGCAAGGATATCATTAAAAGATATAATAAAACAATTAGCTTCAAACAAATAACGGATTTACAGATGAAATATATATATAATCACGTAATCATTCCTCGTATTGACTATAAAGCACAATTGTTAGTTTGGACAAATTCTCAAACAGAAAAATTAAATTCTACCTGTAGATATATGTTTAAAAGAAAAGCGTCATTACCACTTACTACTCCTAATAGTATTATATATTCATCATTGGTTACGCTATTAAAGATATTAATACGATTCAAGCTCAAAGACAATTAAGTAGATTATATAATCAAGTGATATCAAAGGGTATGATGAAAGATATTTTTGAAATAGATTGTAAACAATTGCAAAGCAAATTATTGTCTAATAAATCTCTATTAGCAACATAGAATATCAGTTTAAAAGACTTACAAGTAAAACACTGTTTATTAGCCCGCGTTTTAACACTTTTATATGATAATATGTTAACCATAAAATCAAGTGGTGTGAAAGTTAATCAGATTCAAGGGGGATTATTACCAATAGTAGAAATATGTACACATAAAGAAATATTTTCAAATGGAATTAGTAAGGGACTGAAAGGGAAAAATGTTTATTTTATTAATCAGTTAATGTCGTCAGATGGTATACGTCTTCTGAGATATAAAGATTTGAAATATAGGACTAAGAAACTAAACTTATTGAAGATCCTTTAAAATCTAAGAAAGTGAAAACTGATTATCAATTAGGATATAATATATATAGTGTAAATACAAAAATTGATAGTTTAAAAACAAAAAATTGGATAACAACCTTTCATGATCAAATAGGTAAACCTATAATAGGGCGTATTTTAGATAAGCCAAAAGAGGACAAAATTCGTATAGAACATTGGATACAAGATCTAGAAAATGATCAAATATCACCATCAGTACAGTTACCAATCCTTAAAAAATGTGGAAAATGTGAAGTGAAAACGAATCAGATCAGAAATAAAAGAAGTAACACTAAAGTAAAGTGTATAGCAGATATTAGTATAGAGAATTGTGTTAAAGTTAATGCAAATTCAATACAAAATGATCATTATATAGCAGATATGGCTATTTATAAGGCGTTAGCTCAAGCGGAATGTAAATACTACGGAAAAATGTCTATGAATGAATGTATTATTGAAAAAGTGAATGGTTTTTCAAATATATACATCCAAGTAATTATCGTAATGCGTTGATAGAAATTGCAAATAATTTAACGCAAGAAGCTGATATAGAGATTTATATAGATGGGTCAGTAAAAAATATAGCAACTAACGAAATAATGATGGGTTATGCATTTGTAATTAGCATTCCCATAAAGAAAAGTTTTAATTGTGGAATTGCAGATAATCCTTCATCTAATAAGGCTGAATTAATAGCAGTGATTCTAAGTTTAATGACCTGTCCTAAAGCTGCAAATGTCAAAATATATAGCGATTCTCAATGAGTAGTTAATACATTTGATGATTTAAACTTTTTGACGATTAAAGATATAGAAAAATCAAAAGTTAATTATAAAGTTTTATGGTTATGTTTATTTAAGATAATTAGGATCTATAGCCTCAAAATAAAGATAACTAAAGTTAAAGCGCATAGTAGTGATTGTGATTATAATAAAGAAGCAGATAAGCTCGCTAAATCTGGTGCTGAGAAAAATATATTAATAATAGAGGATAAATTATTATTACACAATGGTACGGTTTATTGGAGAGATATGCCTATAGAACGTAACCCTATCCTTATGATAAAGGGAATAAAGGACGCTCAATTTATAGAAGAATTCCTAATGTTACACCGTAATGAAGTCTATAAACAATCAGATTGGAAAATATCTTTAAAGTTAAATAACATAAATCAATATGATACATTGTTTGAGGATCATTTTTTACAATCATTTAGGATTAAAATTTGTTGTAATGAATTACCAACTTGTGCTAATTTAAAAAAGTAAAAGCCAGATCTATATGATGAAAATTGGAGATGTAATTTTTGCAAAATAGAAGAAGAAACCTTTGCCCATTTTTGGAAATGTAGTAAGATTCAAAATGTGGTACAAGATATACTCATATGATTAAAAATTTTTTTAGCTAAAATTATACAGAAGTATTCAAGAGATGATATAGATATATAAGAATTAAATGTTAAAATTAATGAGCTTAGTATGTAGGATATTGGACGCTTATATGATTTTACATTTTTAATGAAGAATTAAGTTAGTTGTCAGTTAATAGAATTATTAAAGTGCTATAAAATAACTGAAGAAAAATTGTTGTATAAGGTACTGAAACAAATAACTGGGAGAGTTTTATTAGAATTCAAAGTGCTTATTTGGGAACCAAGGAACGAGTTACAAATAAAGAAAGAAAAGCGGTGCAGTATTAGCGTTAAAGATAAAAAAGCTAAGTCACATAGTAAACACACTGAAGTGGGTGTTAAAAATGTTGGCTGTAATATGTTAGAAAGTAATTGGAATAAATGAAATGATTTGGCATTCCATCATGGCAGTCATTGGGCAAATTTTTAAATAGATCATGATAGTCACCTTTGAATTTGA